CGATGGGACATTTTGTTACAGTGGGAGGCTGGGGATGCCTGGCTCTGGAGGACAGGGGGGTGCATTGGGTTAGAGTAGGGGTCGTGGGAGTGCCTGGCTCTGCAGGAGATGGAGGGCATTGGCTTAGAGCAGGGAGCCTGGGGTTCCCTTGGCTTTGGGGGAGGGGAGGGGCATTGGACTAGAGTTGCAGGGAGGTGATGGACCAGGCCGGGTCTGGGTACCGCTGCGGGCATCCGCTCAGGGCGAATTGCTCGAAACCAGGGCTCCTCACAGCCCCTGACTGGAGACCTTCCCAAACAGGCCACAAACTAGTCACACCGAGCGCTACAGCTGCCACTCGGGCCAGCAGGAAGCCTCATGAGCAAAACCCCTCAGACAGCCCAGCTCTCCCTGTGCCCCAATCAGCCCCAGGCCTAACACACAGGTGAGGGGTTATAGAACCCAGTCTCACCTACCTGAACGGGTTCTCCCGGTCCCAAAGAACTAGCCACAAATCCCTCGTCAGTTTACACTTTGGATCTTACCCACAAGGTCGCGCTGGGCCAATCCTTTAGAATCTACAATCTAACGATTTATGAAGAAAAGAAAGAAAAGTTTGAGAGTAAGGTTGTTAAGGAGAATACATCACATGCACCAGTCACCAAGTCCTGGATGCAGGCTCTCAGCAGAGATGTTACAAACTGCTGTCTTGAACGTCTCTGGTGCACATCCTGTGTCAGGAGGGGTCGACAATCCGTCCGGGCTCTGTCCCTCGCAAGGCTGCGTCTGGTATCAGTGGCAGAATCGAAGACAAAATGGAGTCTGACTCATGGCACTGGAGGCAATATTCCTGGTACCTTCCAAGCTGGAGCAGGTCACATGGCCAAGCGACCTATCCCTGTGTCTCCTGCCAGCAGCCATGGGACACTGGCTGGCGTGCAGGTTTCCGGACGCATTCTTCAGGTTGTATTGGGCACCCTGAGAGCCATTGTCCTTGGGGCTGTGCTAGTTCGCATAGTCATTCATTGGCCATTCCTTCCTCAGGACCGGCAGTCCAGGCCTAATACCAGCACAGAGTCCACATTCATAACTCCAGATACAGAAATCACACAAGCACATGAATAGCATACACGGAATCATTTGGCAACTCACATAGCCCGCTTTGTACAGACTTTGGGGCAAACACCCCCTCATGGGGACAGCAGTGATCTGGCTGCTCCCCTTAAAATCCAGTAATGTGCCGGGGGGAGCGTGAGACCTTTAATTCAAAGTCTTCATGGATGCACAATAAGGCAGCAAACACAGATGTCCTATTTAAATTCCAAGGGCAAAAAAAGAATCAGCATGTACACTGTGTTTCTCAAAGAAACTTCAAAGGCTATTGTTTGCCAGGCTGAAGTAATTATTCTGTGATATGAGTCTTTCCCTTCTTGTTTTTGAACCTCTCATATTTGCAGTCTGGGACAGACCTGAATTTTTAGAACAATAAAAAAGCCATAATCTTCATAAGTTAAAAAAAATGAGGAAACCGGACCAGAGATCAACAAGCCGGAGTGAAACAGGCATTGCAAATTGTGCTAATTTACTTATCAGATCAGTTTAATTTTAAAAAACTCACAGGACATAATAGGGCAGTAGTGTTAAATTTTAAATCCATGGTGGGGATCCTTATTTTTAGCATGAGAATAGTACAGGCAGTCCCCGGGTTACGTACAAGATAGGGACTGTAGGTTTGTTCTTAAGTTGAATCTGTATGTAAGTCGGAACTGGCGTCCAGATTCAGCCGCTGCTGAAACTGACCCCAGTTCTGACTTACATACAGAATCAACTTAAGAACCCCAGGCGTCCCCACGTCAGCTGCTGCTGAAACTGATCAGCAGCTGATTCCAGGAAGCCCAGGGCAGAGCAACTCTGCCTGGGGCTTCCTGTAGTCAGCGCTGGTCAGTTTCAGCAGAAGCTGACTTGGGGACGCCTGGGGCAGAGCAGCTGGAGTGCTGCTGGGTTGCTCCAGTAGCGCTGCTCCTTGGCGCTACTGGACCAACACAGCAGCACCCAAACTGCTCTGCCCCAGGTGTCCTGATTCAGCCACTGCTGAAACTGACCAGCAGCTGAATCAGGATGCCTGGGGCAGAGCAGCTGGGGCGGTGCCGGGGGGTGTCCCGAGCGCCCGGA